TCGGAAAGAAGATTCGGAAAATATGAAAGGTTAAGAAATCGGGAAATGTTGCCCAGGCTCGGAGTTTATTCCAGAAGAAATTTAAAGATTTGTGGTTGTTGTTGTAGCAGCTTGTACTGCTGTGTATTTCTTCTTAATCTCCTCAATCTCGTTCTGGTTCTAACTCCAAATTCAGGAAGACTGTGTCCTGTATCTTTTGTTTCTAAAGTGAGTGGGTTTAACTGGGCAGTTGAATAGGTGTAGCGTGGCATATGGACCATTACCACATTCCGGACATATATTATTGACCTCGCCATCAATATGAATTGATCGCGGATATTCTCGAATTGCTTCCTCAACTGCATCTGTGTGAATACGATTCAATCCTGCTTGATAGGCCTGTTGATCTAGAGGCTCCCTTTTGTGCTTTTGGATCTATCTCACCAGATCATAAAGATCCTTCCTGACATGCCTAGGTGGTGGGTGCCTATACATTAGGTAACAACTTGAATGGCTACTATACTATAACACACAAGCAGATATGGCACCGACAACATCTTGTTGTGTTGACGCACAGGAAGGTTCTTGGTCTCCTCAGTAAGGTACTCCACTCCTGGCGCACTCCACTCCTGGCGCATCAAGCTGCTTCAACATCACCATGGAAATTTCATCTGGACCAAGAGCGAGTGGCTTCAGCAGTGATGATGTCCCGGAAATTCTTTTCTGCTACCCGAGCATCAGAAGTATTGGGCTGTTCTCTGAAGCGACGATTGGTGAAATTCCTGAACTCATGCCAATTGGCTTTCCCATGATTAAGGAAAGTACAGCGTCCAAATGTTATGAAGTCGGGTGGTCTGTTGTTGGATATGATAATAAGGAGGTGATCTAACCCCAATAAAATAACGGGTTGCCAGACCTGGAGACACGATGAAAATGTCTGGCTTTGGCAGTCTCACTTTATCCTGGTGGGTATGTCTCGTTCACAGTGCAAAACGTTAAGCTATCTCTTTGCTCGTCCAGCGCCATGCCCCTGTTGTCATTATTTAGCACGGGATGTCATAACTTATGATGTGCATTGAAATCCCCAAGCACCAGACAGTTATTGCCTTCCAAAAGATTACTAATGTCAGGCAAGTAACGCGGGGCACAGCTATTTAACGGCGGAATGTAAACGTTAAGCATCTCTACTTCCGCGGTACCATACTTGACCGCTACCCCCATACATTCCATGCATGGGTAACTAGAGTCTAGCTCAAGCGAGATAGGTCTGTACTGTTCAGAATGGTGCATTCGGAATGCCAATCCTCCATCTCTCGTACGAGCCTTTCTAATGACGTTGTATCGGAGGTGTTGATGTTGATCAGCTTCGTTTCCAGGATCGCCGCGACCAAAATACTTCTTCGATTCATAAAATCCACTACCTCTTTGATTTTCCCTCGAAGTCCATCGCAGTTGAATTAGAGAAAAGATACTTTGTCAGGAGTTGTGACAGCAATGTGCGGTGTCAGCGGCTACGGGGCAGATTGCGGGGGAGTCACGTAATCCGAAGACGACCACTCGCTGGGGACTACATTGGCGCAGCATGAAGCAACGTAGTCCATTTCGCTATACATACTAAGGCCGGAACAACTCCTGAAATGAACCCTTTCTCCGCATCTGTTGCATCTCACCGAAATCGGGTTGACAGCCCTGGTTCGGAAGTTGATTCCACCGAGTAAATCCGGTGCATAAAAAAACCATATAACCTCATAGAGTTATAATGTTTGTTGAAAATCATCTAGAGGACTTCTAGACCTCTTTCCCTCTCTGGGCGTAGGAATATTAAACCGAAAATATATTTTAAAAAATCCACGATTATCGTTCGGAAAAAAGTGTTAAAAATTCCTTTCGGAGTAAATCCGGTGCATAAAAAAACCATATGATCGGCCCGTCGAACTATGATAATTTTCAACAAACATTATAACCTCATAGAGTTATAATGTTTGTTGAAAATCATCTAGAGGACTTCTAGACCTCTTTCCCTCACTGGGCGTAGGAATATTAATCCGAAAATATATTTTAAAAAATCCACGATTATCGTTCGGAAAAAAGTTTTAAAAATTCCTTTAGGAAATATTTTAAAAACACACAATTTTTTCCACCAATATACATTTAAATAACGATTTTTATTTAAAAATTCACTATTATTACCTAAAAATGTATTTCAAAAACTAACGGCTATTCCTTCAAAATGTATGTACAAAATTAGAATCAGTCTTATTTATAAACTTGTTAATATGTTTGTCCAAAAAAAAACAAGACTAGTCCTTAAGGAATCCTGGACTGATTTCAAAATTTCCAATTTTTAACATCACTAATGTTTTTTTTCAACAATTTTGGATTAGTTTTTTTTTCACACAAAATAAAAAAGTCAAGTACATACCTCTTCATATCCATCTACACCGTATATATGTTTGTATATGTAGATATGTGACTATGTACAGAGGTCGCAAAGGTAATAATGATGCAGTCGTTTAAAAATTCCCACTAATTGTTGGCCAGAAAAAATAAAGACCAGCAGCAACAGCATCAAAACAACAACAACACCACCATTAGCAGCAATATCAAAAAGGCAACAGCAATAAACATTATTCTCAATGAAAAAATAAATGAAAAAATCCAAAGAATAACTAACGTATGAATCCTCCACCACCACCCCCACTTCTTTTCATTTTTTTTTCGAAAAAATAATGAATTTTGAATTTTGGCAAAAATTTTATGTTTTAGTTCATTAGTGAAACTCAACCACAAAAGGTGGTCGTCGTGGTGAAAAGTCTAATTGGTTTTTTAATAGCAAAAATAAAATAAAATTTTGAAATAAAATGGTAATTAATTCGATTAAGTGATATTCGAAATAATAACTAGAAAATAATAATAAACAATTAAATATAAAATTATATTAATGAAGTTCGAAAATTAATTTTGTGACGAAGTGTAAAAATGTGGAAACGGGAAAATCTATACTAATAAAAAAGTAATGTGATTGACTGACGCCCAAACGAAGCGGCTGAGGCTAGAATCTTGAAATTTTGAGTGAGGGTCACTCTTGGCCTGGGTTTTTGGAATTTCGTACTAGAACGGTACAAAAAGTACTAAATGTGATACCATTTGTATTTGGCTAACCAGTAGAGCTAAAACTCTTAAATTTTAAATAAGGATCACTGATGGAGCGTAGAATAGATATAGCAAAGTGTTTTTTTTGGACATTCGAACTATAAGTATGCGAAAAGTACTAAAATGTGCTACATTTGGTACAATTTCGTAGCATGTGAATGGATAGAGCTAAAAACTGGAAATTTGGAATGCCAATTAGGGTTGAGATGTAAGGTCTATTTAAGGAGATGGTTTTGAAAGCGTGTACTCATGTGTACGAAAAGTACTATATGGTACTATATTTGGTACAAATTTAATTTGGAGATTCAAATCGAGCTGCAATCCAGAAATTTGAAATTCACATTACCGTCGGAGTGTAGGATTGGGATATGTACGTAGTTTTGGAATTTTTTTTACTTATGTGCACGAAAAGTACTAAATCTTACTATAATTGGTACAATTTGGATTTGGTTGAACCAATAGAGAGGGAACAATGAAATTTTGAGTCAGGGCCATTGTAGGGGTGTAGGATTAGGGCCAGGATTCAGTTTAAGAAATTAATACTTATGGGTACTAAGTGGTACTAAATTTGGTACAATTTGAATTTTAGGTGAAACAATAGAGCTAGAATCATGAAATTTGGAGTCAGGATCACTGTAGAGGTGTAGGATTGGGGTATGTAGGATATTTTGGAAATTGGTACTAATGCGTACTAAATTTGGTACAATTAAAATTGTGGGTGAAGCGATAGAGTTGAAATTATGAAATTTTGATTTAGGATCACTGTGGAAGTGTAGGATTGGGGTATGTAGGATATTTTGGAAATTGGTACTAATTTGGTACAATTTGAATTGTGGGTGAACCGATAGTGTTGGAATCCTGAAACTTGGATTTAGGATCATTGTGGGGTGTTGGTTTCGGGGAAGAAAGGAGGTTTTGCAAGTAAGTACTACTGTGTACTAAATTTGGTACAATTTGAATTGTGGGTGAACCGATAGAGTTAGAATTCTGAAACTTGGATTTAGGATCACTGTGAGGGTGTAGGATTGGGGTAAGTAAGACGTTTTGGAAATTCGTACTACTGTGTACTAAATTTGGTACAATTTGAATTGTGAACCTATGGAGTTGGAATCCTGAAACTTGGATTTAGAATCACTGTCGGGGTGTTTATTTGGGTTAAGTAGCAAGTTTTGGAAATTCGTACTACTGTGTACTAAATTTGGTACAATTTAAATTGTGGGTGAACCGATAGAGTTGGAATCCTGAAATTTGAATTTGTAATCATTGTGGGGGTGTAGGATCAGGGTATGCAGGAAGTTTTGTTGGATGGTTGAGGAGGGTACTTATGAAAATAATGTGTGCTAAATGGAACTATGTTTGCTAAAATTTGGATTTAGGTGAACCTTTAGAGTTCGAATCATGAAATTTTAGTACCAAATTTTTACTCGAATTCAATTTATAGTCGATATTAATGTGTGGATTGTTTTTTCTGACATATGCAGTTATCTGTGAAAATAAAATAATATGTTAATATATGTTTAAGTATTTCCTATATTCGCTAACGAAGTTGCGGGCATATGCTAGTATGTTATAAAATAGTCTATATTTCACAAAATCCACAATTATATATTCCAAAATATATTTAAAAAATATTTAAAAATATTCACGATTATTTCTTTAAAAAAATATTTAAAATATAAACGATCCTTTCATAAAGGCTCCGAAAATAATATTTAAAAAAAATCACGCCTATTTGTAGGCTTCGAAAATAATATTTAAAAAAATCCACGCCTATTTGTAGGCTTCGATTTCTATCCCCAAAATAAAATAATGAAAAATTATTTTTTGAATATTTTTTATTATTTTTAAATATCTCTTCCCACTTATAGGAAGACGACGAGAAAATGGACATTATGCGTCGGGCATTTCAAATGTTCGATACCCAAAAGACTGGCTTCATCGAAACTCTGCGACTCAAAACGATTCTAAATAGTATGGGTCAAATGTTCGAGGAGAGTGAATTGCAGGAGTTGATCGATGAAAATGACCCTGAGAATACGGGTAAAGTAAATTTCGATGGCTTTTGTAATATAGCTGCCCATTTTCTCGAGGAAGAAGATGCCGAGGCTATACAAAAAGAATTGAAGGAAGCATTTCGCCTGTACGATCGTGAGGGTAATGGTTATATGAAAGAAATCTTAGCTGCTTTGGATGATAAACT